CCTACACAGACGAGACCTTACATGCAGCATGCGTATGAGACAAAATGTGCGTGTGCACGCGTATGAACAGGAGTGCAAGAAGCTAACAAAATAAGCCAATTCTTACACCGTTCCTGTGCTGGCTTGAGCACTTTATTCTGCATGGCCTTTCAACAGCTGCAAGCATTATGGAACTGACTTCTTGTGAAGTCCTCCCTTCCACACCCCCTCACCTCCCCTTATTCCCAACACCACCCTCACGAAGCAAAGATAAAACCAGGCCATGTGGCAATTTTATTGTCCAAATAAAACTCTACTCAAAGACTACTGTACTCGTCGTAATAGCAAAAGCGATAAACCAGCCACATGTTCACTCATTGCTGCCTCCGTCCCTTCTGGGGTAGAGGGCACTTAAGGGGAAACATGGGGGAGACAGCACCCAGGCTCAGAGATCTTTTTTGAGCAGTTAACCAACAGGATGTTGCTGCATGCGTAGGTTGTGCATTCTTGCCAGCTCTTAGGAATCACAGAAATTGAGTGTCTGCAACAGTGGTGCCCAAACTTTTTGCCCCGCCGGTCAGGTCCACCTGCATGAAGCATCCAGCCGGTGGGTTCAATCCAGAATGCAGAGCCAGCATGGTCGGGGCTGGATCAGGCCACAGGGGGGTGCAGGGTCCAACCCTGATCCATCTGCCGGGAGGGGGGAGAGTGTAGGGTGGAAGCGGGGCAGCCCAGCCCTGATCTGGAAAAGGTGCGGGGCAAAGGGAGTTCGGGGGGTGGGAAGCAGCCAGGCCCTGATTGGAATACATAAGGAGGCGGAGCTTCTGAGCCTCAATCTGGATGTGTGGGGTGGGGAAGATGAGCAGGCCAGCCTGATCTGGACAAGTGGGGGGCAGGCCAGGCCCTGATCCCGTTGTGCAGCAATGGCCCAGGCAGGGCTGGATCCAACCCACAGAGCTGCCACTTCTGCCCGTTTTTCTCACCCGTGGGGATCCTCGTGGGTTGGATGCCGTGACTCCATGGGCCAGACCTGACCAGCACTCCTGCTCTACAGGACAGGTGTTATGGGCACAGCTCATTTTAAGTCCCTGTGGACCTAGGCCTGCCCTCAGCACTGTGCCGTGCCCTCTTAGCAAATCTGAGACAACAGTGAGCACAAAAAAAAAAAGGAGTGGGGTGGGGGGCAGAAAGCTTCTGCTGAATTAGGGGCTGCACGCCTTGCTTCCTACAAACCAGGGAGTTCTCCCCTGCTCTGAAGCAGCAGGACACCCTTCCAGAGTCACAGGAAGCTGCGAGGTGCGGAGTTCAAAGTTACCCTATTTCCGAAATTAAAAATGAAATCACTGACTGTCACTGCTGAGTAAAGCACGTATTTACAGAGTATACCAGAATTACACAAAGCAAGGAGAAGGATTGTAATGCTTTGAACAAGTGAGAACTGTTTCTTTAAAAAGAATTTAAAGTCCTCCAAATACCATTACGGCTGTAGGTACAGAAAGTTATCCTCGGAATAGGGGGTTTCCAGCAGCCAGAAAAGCATTTAATCTTGCAGCGAAACTCTTAGACAAGCACCTTTGTCGCTCACATAAATCTTTATTAGAAAATAATTGGAGGAAAAAATCAATTTGTATGGACAATGGTGTTTGTTTTCTGGATGTTAATTATTCATTTTCCTGCTCTATTACAGGACCCATGGGAGCACAGGAGGAAGACGGGGGACTAGGGAGAGTCAAAACAGTGGCAGGACATTGATGGCAGTTCTCCTGTCGCTGGGGTGAGAAGGGAGGATGAGGAGACTGCCTGAGGTACCAGGAAGAGGTGTGCATTGCTGTGTACATCAAAAGGTGACTTTTCAACCTGAAACCACCACACACATGCAGAAGTAGAGAGGAGTTTTAAAGTTAAAAGACAGACTAAAAATAAGATTTGATGCATTTTTCATCACAAGATATTGGGGTCAATCTTCTGGTCTTCGGGTGTCTTGGGCTGTACTGGGTGTGTCTAGGGCTGCGTACACACATTCAAATGATCTGGGAGAATACATCTAGGTTTGTTTTCCTGGCAGAAAAAAAAAAAAAAAATACCCAACAGACACCTGACCAGACCTTTAAATGCTGAGCCCGTGGAGAACAGACAGCTTACAGTGCTGCTCATGTGCAGCCAGAGGGAGAGGGAGCACAGGCTCCCTCAGTCTGCCTCGAGATAGGTGGCAGCAGTGCACAGGGTAGCCCTGATTGGTTGCTCAGGGTCAGCATCCATCTTCCTGTATCACAATGTGGGGATTGGGAAGGGGAAGTGTTTGCTGGAGCAACAAGAGCCCAGTGAGTAACACAATATCTCCTGGGCAGGATAGGGGGAGAGGAGGAGCAAAGCATCATGGGATTCATGAGGACTATGCTATGGCTTCTCTCAGAAGAGAATGCGTACAGACATTCATTCTCCCAAGATCAACTCCCCTTAGAGTGATTTAACACTGACTGTTCCTGGGGTTTGGTTGTTTTTTTTGTTTTTTTTTTCCTCCAAGAGAGGGCATTTTTACTTTGGGAGAAAAATCCTGAACATGTGAACACTCATAGTTTCTCCTGGGAGACAAATGACTTTCCCAGGAGTCACTGGATATCCATACATGACTTAAATTAGAGCCACATCTGTGTTAGAAGAGAGGAGGTTAATCACCACCACTCTTCCAAACATGCTAGGTAAAAACAAAGCCAGAATGGCATCTGCTGGACTGAACAGTTCAATATACCCACGAGCCAAGCATACCTGCCTAGGTACAGCCAAGTGTGCAAACTACCTCTAGGAAGTACACAGGAGCTCAATGTACCTACTTTGGCTGAAAAGTTCAGCGGCACACCCATATGTTTTATATGGGTGGAACATCCACAGAAAATAGCAGCACGGCAGGGGCAGGGAATAAATCAGTGAGCCCTTGAGGGTTTCAGAAACTACTTCTGCCACTTCTTCCTTCTCTAGAAGGGCACTGGCTGTACTACTGGACCTTGAAGAAATGCAGAAGTAGAAAAAAAGGACCCTTGGGGCATTCTGGGTTTCCTCATCATTGAGATAAAATCACGAAAGGGAACAGAACCAACGTTTTGTCCTCAGCTTCACAGGGCCCCCCATGGCAGCAGTACTGAGTTCAAGCACGGAGGGTGGTGAATTTGTTAGGCTGACTGCTAAAAATGTTGAAGTTTTAACATCCTAATTCACTACATACAGGAAGGTCATTTTAATTTTCTGATTAGTGCCCATATGGTGAAAAGTAACAGTGTCTGTGTAGGGATGTGCGAGAGAAAGGCCAGCAATTTTTATCCACCAAAAGCAAGACATAACTTACAATTCTTTTGATGTGTGTAATTTTGAGGTGTAGTGTCCCAGGCCAGTTTTCTCCCTATAAATATGCCATCTCCCTATTCCTTCCCTCTTTCCTCCAACTTGTTTGGTTGCCTCTGGCAAGGGAAACCTCTATCGGCTTCCAACTCCAGCCATCTCATTCACACTAAACAAAATAGCAAGTCTGGGACGAGCAATCATTTTCCGTTATCTACTTACCTTCCTCCTCAACCCAAAAACCAGCGCAAGGGAAGCTTGATAAGATAAATGCATTTCCAACCATCATGAATCACAAGCATGAAGAAACACAATAGAGAAAGGCTGGTGAAAAGTTACCGAGGGTGCAGGGATAGATGAGTAAAAGATAAAAGAGAAATCTGTAGCAATACAGTACAGACTCACAGTCCATCTCGCAGCTCTTGTGTATCGTTTGAGGTCCCCAGGGATCTAAGGCTTCTTTCCAAGGAAGTCACTGTCAACAGGAGAAAAAGAAAAGACAAAGAAATAGCATTTTGTTCCAAAAAAAGAAAAAGGATTACATGCTTTAAATGGATTTTCCTTCACACTGTTGTATGGAGCAACTAACATATGGGCAAATGAACGCACAGAAAAATGAGACAAGAAAGGCCAAAGTCTGGCAAGTCACTTCTTCACCAGGGGAAGTTGATCAAGTGCAATACGAGCACATGGCATACAAGAAGTGTTGCAAGTGTTTGCTATTTGTGCACTGCCGTAACTGTAAATGGGCATTTCCAGCTTCCAAGTTACACTCTGGGAAGTCTCAGTGGCAGAGCCGTTAGAAATTAAAGTCTCAAGCTCATAGATATCTTCTGTGGGAAGTTTCCAAAAGAGATTTTGAGAAGGTGCAGAAGGCAGGTGAACTTAAATTAACGATCAAAGTCTAATAGATGGGATGAAAGAAGGAGAACGTACATAGTACAGGAAGGAGAAAAAGGGAGTAGCGTGGCAGAGAGATATAAATGAAGGGAAAGACATGAGATGTGGAAGGGAGGAAGCAAAAACAACTCCTGAAGGAACTGGGCTTATTTACTCCGGAGAAGGCTGAGAAGGGATTTAATAGGGTGGGTCCAAAGAGGATGGAGCCGGACTGTCCTCAGTGGCGACAGGTGACACAACAAGGAGCAATGGGCTCAAGTTGCAGCAAGGGAAGTTGAGGTTGGATATTAGGAAGAATTGTCTTCCTAGGAGGGGGTAAATCACGGAAACAGGTTACCCAGAGAGGTTGTGGATTTTCTACCCTTAGAGGTTTTTAAAACCCAGGTAGACAAAGCCTTGGCTGGGATGATGTAGCTGGGGCTGGTCCTGCTTTGAGCAGGGGGTTGGACTAGATGTGACCTCCTGAGGTCCCTTCAACCCTCATTTTCTATGATTCTGCAAATTCCGGAGAATCTGGAAATCATGAATTACGTGATCTCCATGTGACAGACAAACAGGCATACAATAAATGGCAGGGGGTGGAGGGACTTATTGGCTGTAGTTGTGTCGGTCTAAGGACATAGGAAGGCAAGGTTCTTTGGGTAGACATGATATCTTTTATTAGGCCAACTAAATGGTTAGAAAAAAAGTTCTTTGCAAGCTTTCAGTCAGGCATAGGGAGACTCTGCTGATGGTATGTGTTCTCCAAGGTAGAAAAGAAGCTAATTGACACCAAGCATGTCTGTGAAAATGCAAATGAGTGGAAATTATGAAGAAAATGGGTAGACAGGAGGGGAGGGGAGGAAGGAAGGGAAATGTATGAAGAAATGTAAGTGGTCAGCTGGAGGCAGGTTACCTGGGGTATCAGATGTCAGGCAGGTTGCAGTGTGTCATCAATCCAATGTCTATATTAGGTCCATGATTTTTTGTATCCAGCAGATTTATGAAGTGAAGGCTGTAGGCTCATCTCCCTATGCCTGACAAAGGGTGTTTGTGCCCGAAAGCTTGCAAAGAACTTTTTTTCCAACTATTTAGTTGGTCTAATAAAAGATATCATATCTACCTGAAGAACCATGCCTACAAGAAATGGGAGCACAGCAAGAAAGGTGCTATTGGCAACCCTGAATGATGTCCATTGCACCCTCTGGACCCATAAGCATGGTCTGCTACCATATCTGGCCCTGAACCAAATTATCACAACCTCCAGTATGTTTGCAACAGGCACCATTGGTAAGCATCTACTCTGAATGTCAGGCTTGCAAGACCACTGGCACTCAAGTCAATGGCCTTTTTCACCTTGAATTCTGGGCACTAACTTTACGTTATAACACTAGACATCCTGCCGGGGCTGAAAGTCCTGCTGATTCTACATGCTGCCACATACATACTTTTTTAAACTCTTTTAAATCATTAAAAACATATAAAGGTAAATGTCACAATTCTGGTGCTATCAGATTAGGCCAGAGACCCAAGGGAGGTGTAACTGCCAATAATCCCAGGCTGGGCTGCCTGCTAAGGTCCCTAGGAGACCCTGAACATCTGCCAGCCCCAGGCCCTTGCAGAAGGGGTGCCGTAGCTGCATTGCAGGTCTCGATGGGTGACAACCTGGCCATCTCTATACCCCAAGCGGTCTTTTTTCCTACTGCTATACTGTATGCATTCGTTGTCATCAGCCCATTCCCTTGATAGTTGTCATTTGCCCGTTCCCTTGGAACTGCCAGATCAGATCAGATCTGCATAGTGCAATTACCTCCATAGCCTCTGCTACGTTACCCAACATTGATGCTTCAGAGGGAAGTGCAAACTGCTGGTACGAGGGGTTAAGTTTATGGTAGACATAAACACGCTCACTCCTTTCTTCTCACCTAGTCCTGCTCCCTTCCACTCTGCTCCAAACTGAAGGCTGCAAACATCTCCGTACAGTCTTCAAATGCACTGAAGAATGCATGTCATCTTCATGTATCTTCATGCATTTTTCATACAAATCATTCGGCCAAAAATCTCAGGGACCTGAGTTCTGTCCTTGGAAGAACCGAAGGAAAACCAAGACTGCAGGATTTGGTGCACTGATTTAACCCAAGAACCTAGAAAAGGAACAGGTTTCCCCTCCACTGCCAGCTCAGGGCATGGTTGTGGTCCTGGATAAGGAGTCTGGGAATGGGAGAGTAACAACCCTTGGTACTCAATACGTACAGCTCCTTCCGTCCAGGTTACCCACGGGCGTTGCTGACCCACCCCAACAAATGCACAGTGTGACAGATGAGCACTGTAACTGAACTGGGTGGGTGAAACTAAAACCAGACCCAGGGCTGGGATGCCTCCCCTCCCCACCTCCCCACTTTCTCCCCCCAAATCAGGGGCTTGAGCCCACGTCACTCTCTTAGGTGACCAGTGATGCTTTTTAAATTGGTTGGTCAGCATCAAACAACACCTGGCCTTCACTGGATCTCAAAGGTGATGCCAAAAGGGCTATATAAAGCTGAGATTCCCCAGGAGGTGGGCGACAGCCATGTTAAGTTACATACAGCAACTGGAACATCTGCAGCTCTCTTTCTCTCTCTCTCAGGATGCTGAAGTGAGTAAACTACTTGGAACTTATCTAGATATATAGCTGACTGTAATGTAGAAGCAGATCAAACAGATACTAAGCTGCCACAGTTTGCTCTGGGTTATTCTTTCATACTTCCCTATCCTGTACCCTTCCTCAAGCCTATCCTCTTTAACCAATAAAGCTCTCCACTATAACAAGCATGGTGGACTCACTGATGAGGGATTGGGGCAAGCCTTAAAACTCCCTATGCTCAGCCGACTCAGGGAGGCTAATCTTTGTGCTTCAGGCTAAAGAAAGCAGCCCAAGTTCTCGCAGTGGGTCAAGCATCCTCAAGACCTACAAGGCCTGTGTACCGCAAGGGGCCCAGGGCCCAGATACAGACCAGACTCCTGGGTGGTGGCAGCAGTTACCCTAGGCTTGTGAGTGTGCTTCAGGAAGGGGGTCAGCCAGCTGTGAGGGACCCCAGGGGAGGCACTAGGAGCTTGGTAGGTGGATGGGCACAGTGAGGTGGGTGGCTCAGCATGGGAGCACCCCCTACTGGTCCACCACACCCCCCAAAAAAGCAATCATTATACAGTTAATGGCCTCCCTCTAACCACTAAGAGAGGCTTCTTGTTTCTTAGTGGGTCTACCCCACCATGCCTACAGCAAATAGGCCTGAACACACATCCTTCTTCTGGTTTAGATACCTTGCATCTTGGCCCCGCTTGCATCCAGCTGACATGACCAATCGTTTTCTTATCTCAGTGCCTGGACAACATATCCCAGCCTTTTGTTTCCCTCTGTCAGCTTTCTTCCATGCCTCATCAGTGAATTTGGCTTTGCTTCCCACACCCATCAAAACTTATCCTCTGTTTCCTTGTATGCTACCAAGATGGTGAAGGTGTTACCCTGCACCGCTTATTTGCTAACTTAAAAAAAAAAACCCTTCATCCTTACTCCTGTGCTGTCCTTCTTACAAGGAAATAACTCCCTGAAGAGATGCACAGAGCCATCCCATGTTCTTCAACACCTTTCTTACAACTTTCAATTGTCATGATGTCTACAAAGAACTTTAAAAAGGTCAGGACACTGGAGTGACACCACTACTGCTCACACTGATAACCAGGGATCCTGGTTTTCTCCGATTAAAAAAAAAAATAAATCCTAATTTTTGGATATAACCCCCCCCCCTCCACATTTTCCCAGGTTTAAAATGAAACGCCATATATGGCGTTTCATTTTAATTTGGGGTTATTTTTTATATCCAAAAATTGGGATTTTTTTTTTTTTTAAATCAGAGAAAAACAGGATCCCTGGTTATCAGTGTGAGCAGCAGTGGTGTCCACCAATGCCCTGACCTTTTTTAAGTTCTTTGTAGACATCATGACAATTGAGAGTTTTAAGAAAGGTGTTGAAGAAGAATGCCATATATAGTGTTTCATTTGAATCATGGGGAAATGTGGATGGGGGGGGTTATATCCAAAAATTGGGATTTTTAAATATATATATATATGTGTGTGTGTGTGGCATTTCACTTTAATCACAGAAAAATGTGGATTTTGTGTTATTTTTTACATCTGAAAATTGTTTTTTCTTTTGGGTTTTTTTAATCAGAAAAAAAAACAGGATCCCTGGTGATAAACAGTATGGACTCCTTGGACAGACTTAACACATCCAGCATCAAATGATAGCTGCAAGGTAACTATTACATGGCCAAGGTCCTGGAAAAGTTTAGCAAAACCAGCATAACTGTAACCGTGTTCCCTATAGGGTTAAAGCTACACTGACTTAATACACTTGTCTCACAACAGGAGCATTCAGATGCAACAGTGATTGGCACTGTAATAGTTGCTGCCCACTTCTAGCAGCAACTCTCTGTCCTTTTTTAAAACCTTTAGTTAGACTGCAGGGTATTTAGGGTGCGGCTGTCGTCGTGTCATATTTGTACAGCGCAGAGCACGCACTGATTTTGTACTTACAACTGGATGCTACCATGACGCCAG